TCTATAAAATAGATGTGAAGACCTTCAATAGCTAAAATAAAGGAAGGGCGACTATCAAGAATAAATGAGAAAATCACAAACACACACACATAAAGACACAAAATAAAATGAGGTTCCATTGGTGTGACCTACGTCCATGGGTTTGAAATGAGTATTTTTATTCATTAGCTTGAACACGAAATTAGAGTACAATTAAAACCTTAGCTATTAGCTGTTATATATGGAATGTACTAAACTTTTAATAATTAGAATTGGATTGAACCCATCTACATGTATAGATCGGCCTATTCCAAATACTTATCCCATTGAAAATTGGTATCTAGATATTTCTGGTCTTCGATTCTCAAAACACGTTTAATAGTGACAATGCATCACCTACTCTAATACGTCTTTTCATAGTCGTCATTAAGATACCCATTAACCAACAACACAAATGTCGAGAAAAAACCTAAAAGCCATTGCATCCACTTGGACCTAAAACCCGTAGACTTGCATTGCTGATTCAAGATACCCCTAACTTAAGGAATTGTATGTCTTCTCAATATCACGTTAAAGATAATCATCTTATTTTTCTAGCTAGCTCTTACACCACATTCTTTGGTCATTTATTATCTATCATTAGAGACTCATCTAAGATTTGACGTCCTTCCTTCAATGAACGTTGTTTGAATAATATCGCTACCGTCAAAGCTGATGACCTGTTTTTCGGCAGGTCACAGGGAATCTCAATATATCTTGTTAGATAATCTCAAACCAACTAAGAGGGCGCCCGATACTAGTTTATGATGGTACTTTGGTTATAAGGGTGATGAAAGAGGCATTATAATTACAACCCCTCGGAATCAAATCTGAGCTCTCAAACTCCACAACGACATCAATCACATTACCATAGATTGTGCCAAATTTTCTTAATAAACTCAAATGTAAAATTGTTTGGATATGGGAAGAATTTGTAGCAGGAAGAGCACGCTTGACTTCATCAGGGGATATAAGGTTGTCTAGAGATATTTTATCTTTATAGATCTAGACATAGTAAAATTATTTAAATAATTCCTTTTAATTTATTAATAATTAGATAACGTAACACAAATTAATTATTGTGTTCAATTATTAGATATATAGCTAGATTGTTTTTTTTTTTTTTTTTTGAACTGCTAACACCCACCCACACTAAATATTACTTCTAAACTACTCATATATGTTTTACGACTAGGCTAGTTCATGTTGCCCGAATTTATTGCATGTGACTTGGTATATATTTGGAATTTTTCTGGTCTTGTTAATTGCATCTTTCATTTGAAAAATGTAGGGGTGGCAATTGGGGCAGGATGGCAAGCTGTGATTGCTTATATAAATATCGCATGCTACTACATCTTTGGCGTTCCTTTGGGACTCACTCTGGGATTTGTTGCCGATTGGGGTGTAAAGGTCTGTAAGCTAATGTTATTATTCCTGCATTCCATCATATACCATTGTCAACCAATAAAAATTTTACAAAACATCGCATGCATGTAGTTCTTTTTAATTTCCCATTTTGTCCCAACTAGTGATATAAAAGATATGGATTTTTCAACCATGAAATGACATTCAAAAGAATTGTATAGGGAAAACCTTACTCTAGTTTCGATTACACTAGTCAAAGTTAATATGTAGGCTAATGTTATCAAGTATTGCAGGGTATATGGATAGGCATGTTGACTGGAACGGTGGTACAAACTGTGATATTGGTTTGGATTTGCTACAAAACCAACTGGGAAAAAGAGGTACTTTTCACCACATTACCAATTGTGTCGTGTTTTCATGTCGTAAAAGAATTTCAATCCTTAATCAGCTTTTCAAATTTGACTTTTTTCTTTTTCTGAAATTTTAGGCAGCCATGGCTGAAAAGAGAATTAGAAAATGGTCGGGTCAAAAAGAGGTGGATGTCGAGCAATAATTGGTTCAATGAAGCTAATTAAGGCGAGTATTTTTTGTTTTATGCAAATGATTGTTTTAAGTTGATTCTTGTTGTAGGTACGTGTGTTGTCTTTTGTTTGCTTTAGATTTCGGTTATTAAATCTTATCCTTGTTTTAATTTCGAAAGCATGTAACTTCGGTAGAATTCTCTAATAGAAAGGAGAAATTTTTCAGCAGAAATAAAATTTGACACCACCATGATATTCCTTATCTATGTACCAAATTAACGAACACCACCTTTGTGACGTTTGTTCTATTTCTATACACAAATTAAATATTTCGTGGCTACAAAAAACAGACTTTCACACATGTGATCTAGCTACCAAAAAATCCATCTAGCGACTGATCTAGCACAAAAATTTATTTTGGATTTCTAAATATATTTGTGACTTAATATGGTCTAATTAGAATGAAAGACAATATTATCTTCATGTGTTGTCACTATTCTGTACTAAAAGGAGAATAATTCTTAAAATTAATCGGTCCGATGATAATTTATCGCTAAGCTAGGTTAACTTCTCCAAAATTTAATTTTTAAACTTAGCGATGGATGACTAAAAGTTTAGTAGAGCTATCAATTTTTTAATATCTGTGTGTAATCCTGAGTTTTCTAGTAAAGGGACTAGGTGGACAAAAACCTAACCTCAAGAAAATACCAAAAAAAAAAAAATCGATAAACTGAAACCGAACAAAAAACTAATGTTGTGGTTTTTAATTTTGTAAATAACGGGTATTCACGGTGCTAGCCCTGTCAAAAATACCTGTTATCCGAATTATCCGTCCGATTTTTTTCAGGTATCGGGTTCACTTTTTCGGGTAAGTGGGTAACCCGAAATTTTTTTCAGGTCGGGTAAAGGGTAAGTTGTTTGTGTTTCGGATATACCGATTACCCGAAATATATATATAACAAATAATGTCTCTTTATGAGTTTATCTGTCCTCCCAATTCCCAAATCTCAATTTCCCTCGTTGAAGCACGTTCTATTTTCCTCACGTCAAAAAACTCTCGTACCTCGTCCGCTCTTCGTTGGTGTTCATCACCAATGGATGACTATATTGAAGTAGAAGATGGGACGATTGAAGTTGACAACCCAACCAATGATCAAGTTCTACAAGAAAAAAAGAAAAAAAACTAAAGAATTCAACCCAAGATCGAAAGTTTGGAAACAATACTTGATATATCAAATATTATTGAGTAAAAAATCTTAATGTTCAAAGTTTAACACGATATACTTATTTCATTACATTATTTTTAGATGCCATTAAAAAAAAAAAAAAATCGGGTAATACCCGAATTACCCTTACCCGACCCATTACCCGAATTTAATTTGGGTAGGGTAACGGGTAAATTTTTTTATATGAAAACTTGAATTAACCGAAACCCGAAAATTTTGAGCGATCAACACCCCTACACGGTGCGGTATGGTTTTGCATTTATAGATACTGCACCAAAAATATCACGACGCACCATTCGTAAACACACTTAGCTAGACAAACCGCACCATTTAAAAAAATAATGTTTATCACCTATTTAATATCCATAAGATATATTTTTATTTTTATGTTTTTTAATTAAAATCGACTAAAAAGAAAAACATGAAATTTCATTTTTAAGATTTAGTATGAAGACTTGCAAAGTGAATATTTAGCTATAAAAATATTATATTAAGTCGTCTCAAGCGGCCATAGTTTCAATATTTCTTTCGAAATTTTCTAGAATTTTAATCACTAACTCGTTGTTTTATATTTATATGTGACTTATTATAGATCCAAGAAAATATGGCTATAATCCATAAGTTTTGGGGATTTTTAAGCCTACCAAATGTAAAAACCGCAATATATTTATTATGGTTTATAAATCGAACCGAAACACATAGAAACTGAAACGCACCTAAAACCGCAAACCACACTAAAAACAAAACCGAATGTTGCGGTTTTAACAAACTAAAAAACGATCTATGTGGTTTTCAGTGCGGTTTTAACCAAAAACCTTGTCACGCTCAACCCTACTAAAAGGTAGTGTTTTTGAAAAAATATTTACCAAGTAATGTTTTGCCTACATATACCTTGTGTATTTGTTATGTACATTCTCATTTTTAAGGTAGTGTTTTTGAAAAAATATTTACCAAGTAATGTTTTGCCTACATATACCTTGTGAATTTGTTATGTACATTCTCATTTTTAGTGTTTAAGAGGGTGATTGTACTAGTTTTGTGTTAGAACCATTCTAGTGGTAAACTAGGTAGTTGGATGTTGGATTACTTTTGTATATACAATGTTTAAATTTTATTCTTCTATATGGTTGTAATAAAATACAATGTCTAAATTTTATTCTTATATATGGTTGTAATAAAAAGATAACTTTGTGTGAAATACATTATAGAGGAAAATATTATTGCATATAAAATTATAATATTTCTAATATTGAAACAAATCAAAACACAAATTGAAAATAACTGTAAATGGAAAAGTGTTTCTAATATCAATGGAAATGTTGTTCCTAAAACAGTCATTAATCGGTAAAAATTTGACCATTTAAAAATCAGTTAACGACGAATAATTTTTTGTAATTGTACAGTAATTCGTTGATGACTATGAAACGTTTTGACGCTAAATGCGCTGCTTATTTACAACAACAAAAATTAGAGAGGGGTTTATAGATGGTACTTTCGGTCGCTAAAGTCTGTTTTCTAGTAAACAAAACGAACCATCTTTATATGTAATTTCTTTGACAATACACTTTAAAATAATTAAATTTTAGTTTCATAAAATAATATTTTTATTCTCTATTTATCAAATTAATTTTATTTAGTGTTTTATTTATACATAACAAACAAACATATATCACAATCAAACAAACATCACAATCAAATATAATTTCTATTATATCAAATAGATCTTAGTAATTCATCAAGCTTTGACAAAAACCTAAAATCGACATATTTTGTATAATTTTTTTTTAACGGCAAATAACTATATATCTACTCTACCTAGAATTGGACCGATGACCTCCTAATTAAAATCACCATATTAACCAAGCGAGTTAACCCCAACTTGTTATTTTGTATAAATCCACATCACATTATTTTGTATAAATCCACATCACATGAATCGTGTTTGTTAAGTATTTATTTAAATCCTAATAACACCGTTCACCAACCAAACACAATTTTACAAACGATTGATAAAAACCGTCATCAAGTTTGATGCTATTTTGGTGAAATGATTTTATGAAGATAAGGAATTGCACAATATTCAAATCCAAACTAACATCAAACAAGAGAACTTTATTGCTCTCCCTCCACCTCTTTTTGACCTGACCATTTTTTTATCCTCCTTTCAGCCAAAAATGCCTACAATATCCATACGTGCATGACTCAGAGAAGTTTGAATCTTACTACATAATATACAATAAGCAAAAGGCTTTTGGCCTAATGGTAAAGAGTCCTCATGGTTCAAGTCTCATTAAGAGACATAGGTGGTATATATATATATATATATATATATATATATATATATATATATATATATATATATATATATATATATATATATATATATATATATATATATATATATATATATATAAAATACTAATTAGATGATTGGAAATTTATTGAATGAAGAAAAAATATACAAGGTGAAAAGTGAAAATTAAGTACCTCTTTTTCCCAGTTGGTTCTGTAGCAAATCCAAATTAAAATCAAAGTCTGTACCACCGTTCCAGTCAACATGCCTACCCATATACCCTGCAATTTCCGCAAAATTAGCATACATATCAATTTTGATTTTTGAGTCGTAAATTCCATGTTATTGCATGAATGCATGATGTACTACTACAAAGATGAGTAACCTTTACACCCCAATCGGCAATAAATCCCAGAGTGAGTCCCAAAGGAACGCCAAAGATATAGTAGCATGCGATATTTATGTAAGCAATCACAGCTTGCCATCCTGCCCCAATTGCCACCCCTACATTTTTCACATATCCAAAGTTTTAGTACTCATACAGTTGCAAGAATACATAAAATATGAAAATTAAAAATAAAAATAAAATCACATACCGGAAAGTGCGGGTTGAATATTATTAATGATAAGGCAACCCCCTAGCAATGGAGTAAGAGCATAAACAGCTTGTTGAACTTTTAAATTATCAGAAAATAAGGCTGGATATTGATGCCGGAAAATGGCCAGAGTTATGGCCAACAAAACTCCGATGAAAAAAGCAGAAAAAATAACCACCACAACGGACAACTTTGCAGCTCTTGGATGGGCCGCACCTAACTCATTCGACACCCTTACACTGCAAAATAAAATAAAAAAAATGGATTTGGTAGTATGTGAATTTAATTAGTTATTTGGTTTTGATTAAAATGACGTTTTTTTAGGGGAAAATGTTTATTAACTAACCTAATAGCTGCATTGAATCCGAGTGCTACCATAACTGCCCAACCAACAATGTTTGTGCTGCAAAATTTGGTTTGAAGATTAGGATCATCGTGTATTTGTTTACATGGCCCTTGATACATATCATTGTACAAGTATTTATACGGCTGATATGGGAGAATACGCTCCATCATAAATTATACATGAATACATGATAGACATTTATGAAAATGATATATATTTGTCCAACTTTGTAATGGGACATTTAACAAAATGATCATTTTCCCAATTACAAATCAAAGCTACCAACTACCTAGCACCTATTATCTACTATCAACTTACAACTACTTTATGGAACGCACCTAAATTAACTTAATGGAAGTTTAATAAATTGTGGTGGTTTTATGACGGATTAAAAAGTTACTTACGAATAGTTTATAGTAATTATCGATTAATAAAAGAATGATATTATAACAACAAATAATACTAAATTAATAACCATATGGAGAGTGCATCCACCGCAATTTCGGCATTCTTCAGGTATCCAGCAAAAAGCACCAACGCCATAAAATACCATGTTTCCAAGCTACACCAAATATTTAAAAATAAATAAACATGGTATTGTAAAGTTAGGTAGAAGTTTGTTGCGTTTTCATTGTTTGTTTTTTTGTTGGAAACTAGAAAGGAGTAATTGGGGTAATTTACTTACCAAAGCATGATAGCTGATGCAAAGGAAAGTTTAACGAAGGCCCATAGATTACTAAAAGCGTCCCAACTAAACCCTGACCATGCTCGACCACAAGTCCCACTCAAAATATACATCATCTGAGCAATCACCATGAACCACCATGAAAGGTTGAGCACTATAGCTCCTCCCCATAACCCCCATCCCAACTTCAACATCAACAACCAGCTAAAAAACGTATGCAGCACCAACGCCACCGCAGATATGTAAGCCATCACCATTATCTTACTCTGAGCTTGAAGAAACTTAGCGATTGGGTAGTTGAAGGCGTACGCATAAAGCTGTGGAATCATCCATAGCGCCATCTTCCCTGCTGCGTGAGATATATCTTCTGTTTGTCCGATCAAGAGAAGTAACGGAGTTGCAAAGATGTAGAGGAACATCATAATGAGACCAGTTACGAAGAGGATAACCCACGATCTCTGCATATATATTCCTAACATATCCACCTGACCTGCTCCAAATGCTTGCCCGCACAAAGTCTCCAATGCGCTCCCCATTCCAACCTGTTGATTTAACAGATCAATTGATCGAGTTTCAGTTAATTGGGGAAATTTCGATTTCAAGTCGTTAATTTGATTTCAGAAACAATATCTGAAACCAATTCGGTGAGGAAAAAACTTGACAAAACTAACCATGATTCCCAAAGAGAAACCTGCAATAACTGAGTTCTCGATTGAGACAGCTGCGAGATCGAGTGTTCCTACATGACCGGCGAAGGTTTGTGTAACTGCACCGAGTGAGTATTGACAGACGGTGGTGAAAATTGCAGGGCCAGCAAGGTACCAGAGCTTCTTTGATTCGACGCCAAATTGGACAAAGAAATCGTTTATTCCGTTGATCGGAGGGACATCTTCGACGTCTCCGTTGATGTGAGCGTTCTGTTGGCCATCTTTTGAGGTAATAAGCGGCGATTCTGCGTTGCTCTCCATTGAATTATGAATTGTCTATCTCACACACAGTAGTAGTAATGTGTGTGAAAGGAAGGAAGGAGTTGTAAAATCAGATTTTGTTGGTTACAGTCTTGTTGGTTTCGAACACCTAATATGCAATCTTTAGGCACACAGTCCCACCAAACCAGTTTAGTTCCCGCCTTTCTCCAAAACGATTACAGATTTACACCCACTTAACTTAGAAGACAAAATACAAAATAACCCTATTTTTTCGAAATAAATTAACATTTTGTCCGTCCGCACACAAAAACGATTACAAATTAGTAGGTTTATTTGAAGTTTTCAACTGGTTTACTTTAAACGGGTTGAGTTATGGTAGATTTTTAACATCATTTCAATCCGTCAATATATTTAAAAGTATATTTATATTTATTCGAACATATGAATTGCGTTTGATGTTGTAATTTTTCAAACTTAAACAATTATTAGATTTTATAAAATAAATTCTAATAGTATGTGACTATTTAATTAGGTGTAAGTTTTAATTTAAAGTTTAAAAAAAAAAAATTGATCATTTGAGACGGCTTCTTTTTGCTCTTCACTTTTAAATCGGATTAGAGACAATTGCAAGCTTCTTCTTCATGTCACGTATCTTAATGATGGGACCGTCATTAGAGATTCAAAGGAGATGAGGTGGTTAGAATAGGACATCATTAGGGTGGCAACCGAGGATTAGGTCTTGAACCGAATATCAAGACTACTAAGTTATTTTGGCCTTCATGTGATGGTAGGAAGTTTATTGTGAGCTTATTCCATACTAACATTGGACGGGAGTTATTGGGGTGAAGCTTATTGAGGGAGCCGTTAGTAGAGATGCGAGTTTTATTAGCGGGTTAGCCAAGAAGAGGGTTGTCAAGGCTATTGATTTGATGTGTCTTCTTCCACAACCACACGACCCCTAGAGTGAGTTCCTTCTTCGATCTTGCATGGGCATCGCCAAAAAAAAAATTGTTTGAGGACTTCCCATCTCGTTCACATGGAGGAGGCAATCTTGTGTTTTGATAAAGGGTTATGTAGGTCAATTAAGGACATTATGGTTTGTAAGGGTCCTTTCTTTGGGGACATTCAATGGCAACTTGCTTCATTACCAATTAGTCTTGGTGGTTTGGGGTTGTACTCAGCGGTAGAGGCTTCCTCATATGTTTGTGGCCTCATGAACTCAATCGTGGGTGTTACAAGACCACATCTTATGAAATAGCGACATATGTGGTATGGATTCGGATTATTTTTGAGCTTTGGCCTGTCTTCGTGATACAATTTCGAGCTTTGACTTCAACAGTTTCACTAATAAGGACACCACCCTCGAAAAGCCCAACATTCATTGGAAAGCGTCATTTTTAGTAAATGTCCAAGACATGGAAGTTCACTTCGACATTACGATTATGCAGAAAGCGGTTTTTGAGTGTCTAAGGGAACCACATGCTCGGGATTTTCTTATAACTATCTCTATTGATGGTTATTGCTAGAGTATGTCGCCAGTAGAGTATCGTGTTATCCTCAAGTATCATATTATGATCCTTTTATTTCTGGTTAATGAGACATGCCTTGTTTGTCGCAAGGCATGCTTATACTCCTTTGGGAGCCTCTAGCTCATTGTAGAGAGCTCACAGGTTTCAAGTACCGGCACGATATGTTTAGGGATGTTCCATTTGACATATTTAGGCGTGTCGGGGTCCCTTCCAAGAAAGAGGCACCTGTAAACTTTCTGACCGGTCCATTGGAAGGAAGATCAACACTTAGACCAACTGATGTTTTAGTTTTTGGATGAGTTGGATGGAAACATGTATGTGTAGATCTAATAGGAGCTTCCCCTATTATGGCCTTGGGTGTCACACCTCAAAACCGAGAACCGCGGAATACATTCTGGGGTGGAGGACGTCATGTACAGTATCATTACAATTGCATAGTAGTAACAACAAGAAACAACAACCATTTCATTAATATAGTGAATATAATTACAAATGTGTTCTGCACAGTTAATTTACAAATGTGTTCTGCACAGTTGACAAACACCAAAAGTATAACAAAAATAAAAGATGAGTCTTGTATATGGTCCATCTTCTCAAAAGTTGCACCAGTATCTATCTTTGACCTGAGGATACAAGTTATTTTGAAAACGAGTATCAGTATAAAGCTGGTGAGTTCATAAGAATTTAGTGTCGTAGTTTGTATAAAAATATTCACAAATACTGTAATATAAAACTGAAACTTATGTATACGAGTAATAGAGACCCCTAGGAAATCCTATATTTCCCAGAATTGTACATCTGTAAGTTAAATCCTTTAAGTGTATAAAAGTATTTCTATTGAACCTTCAATTATAAAAATAAAGTGAGTAGATGTTAAGTCTGTCGATAGTAGTAGTGTTGCACGCTTCAATTAGCCGCAGGTATTTATTTACTTCGGGATGTTAGTTAGACTTTACGTATGTGTATTAATTTGGATATGTATGTAACCCCTCATGTAACCAACTAAATGATGATAGAGAACCCGATGGCCTTCCCGTTCATACATAGTGTAGTGATGTAGTGTCATCCCTGGGCCTAGTCGGCTCGGACTGTAATTAACAGTCGGGATGTAATAGCATCCGTCCTATATAGATATATACGTGTAGTGTTGCTTTCCTTCCGGGAAGCCCCAGTTACATTGTGTAAGCGCTGTAGTGTGCCTTATAGTGAGATAGTGTGTCATACTCTGGATTAGTGTATTCTCTTGTGTTATAGTGTAGTAGACTTTTAGTGTTGTTCTTAGAGTGTTCTCTTATGCGTACTTTAACTTGTAATAGCAATTATAGTGAGTATAGTAGTAATAGAGGTAACAAGCAGTAGTCTTAACTATACCTATTATAGTTAACTAGAGTGTGTGATTTCATGCGCTTGAATAACACCGGTATTGAATAAAATGAATACTTTCATATCAAACACAAATATATATGATATATAACTAAGAAATCAACGACAGTCAGATGGATAACAGATACCCTAAGACCACATCAAACAAGAACAGGAACTAAGGCGAGCTATCGGTCCTAAGTCCTTCAAGTCTTACTTATATAAATATATTAGTGTGGATATATTTAAAAAAAAGAAAATTAGTTTAGCTATTGGTTGAAAACAGTTTAACAACAATTTATCCTTGAAAATTTGTATTTGATAATTATTCAAAACAGTTTTATTGATAAGTAACTAAAAGTATAGAAAAATCCCTTTTTGAGGGTAAGTTATGAATCACATATGGTTTGATAATACAACTTGTAGCATTCAACTTGTATCCCCCCCCCCTCTTTAAAACATGTAAAAACGTTTGAAAAGGTTCATTAAGGGGTATGAACTCACCTGAAATGAGTAGATCGGGTGGAAGTGTCGGATGAGCGTTTAGTGTCAAGTAAATACTTGTACACCCTTTATGACCCTAATAACATATGAAGACATATGTTTACAAGTAATTAGTGATTTAAACTCTAATTAAACACATGTCGACATCCTAATATGAATAAAAGTTCTATGGTTGAGTGTTAGAAGGCTAATGGGTTGCTAGGAAGGAGTTTTAGGCCTCACTATGGAGTTTACTCCTCACAAACCCATCCTTGGTGAGTTTACGGTTGGGAGACCACATCCCCCATGAGCTTACAGATGTAAACTCATGGGAGGAGTGTAATTGAGTGTTTTCAAGCCTCTTGTGGTTCTAGAAGTGATTCTAAGGTAATATACAAGGCTATAGGGGTGTTTAAGGTCCTAAAAGAGTACTCCCTTGGAGTTTACGGTCCTAGGACCACTCCTTGGTATTTTACGGTCGTAATCCCCATGGCTTAGGCGTGAACTCTTGGGCACCCTCCAACTTCGATTTTTAAGGTCCTTGTCTCATTCCTAGCAAGTTCTAGTGAGGGTATAAGGCCTTTTAGGGGTTTAGAGGGTCATTTGGCATGGTTTAAGGGAGTTTACGGTCTAAGCATATGATTGGGCCATAAACTCTAGTTTACCCTTCAAATGATGATGTTTAGGTGTTCCAAATCCGAAATAGTAAGTCCCTAAGTCATGTCTTAAGCCTAAATGTGTTGTGGAAGTGTTTTGGTCTTGATTTGCATGCTTAGAGGGAGTTTACGATCTAAGCATATGCTTGGGCCGTAAAATCTCTTTCAAGCCCTCAAAGTTGTTGATTCATAACTCAAACACTTCTAGGTTAAAGCCAAAACTGGTTTTTAAGCCTAAAGGGGAGAGTTTTGAGCATTTTGGCACCATTTTAGGGGTTTACGGCCTAAGGAGATTCTTAGGCCGTAAACTCCTTGATTTCGGCTTTCTTGCATGATTTTTGATCCTTAACAACAATCAATGATGTTTAGAACAAGTTAGGGTGAGGGAACTTACGTTTTGGAGGCGGAAACTTGCGGTTTTTTGGATGAAATCGGATTTGAGGAGAGAGACTAGAGAGAGAAAGTGTGTTTAGTGTGGTAAAAAGGTTCTAAAGAGTGTCCACTCTCCCTTATATAGGGCTTGAGTGTTGTACTCGGTATACGACTACCCGATACTTATGTTAAACGGGGCTTAAAGCTTTTACCCGGTTAAATGGTCGTAATTAAAAATAAACTTTTTCCAACTAAATGGAAATGTAAATTACGTGTTTTTATTTATTTTATTACGACGATAATAACATAAAATGAAAATGAAATAAAACATTTCATTGATTTGTCTACCCCGAATTAACGGAACTTTTATAAAATAGAATATTTTATTAACGGAAACAGGTTATAATGACGGAATAAATTTTTGGTTGTCACATCATCCCCCCATTAAGGAAATTTCGTCCCGAAATTTAGAATCTAAGCAGCTAAGTTATTACAGTACAACTAAGCAAAGAGATGGGGATATTTGAGTTTCATTTGATCCTCATGCTCCCAAGTGAACTCCAATCCCCGTTTGGCGTTCCATCGAACCTTCATAATTGGGATGCGGCTTTGTTTTGTTCGTTTGACCTCCCGGTCCAAAATCTCCGCAGGCTCTTCCACGGAGTTGAGGCTCTCATTGACTTCGATCTCGTCGAGTGTGATAACGAGAGTCTCGTCGGACAGGCATTTCTTCAAATTTGAGATATGGAAGGTAGGATGTATGTTACTTAGCTGGTGGGGTAGGTTGAGTTTGTAAGCTACGGGGCCGATTCTAGCAAGAATCTCGAAAGGCCCTATGTACCTTGGGTTCAGCTTTCCACGCTTTCCAAAGCGTATCGTGCCCTTCCAGGGTGAGACTTTAAAAAGGACTCGGTCTCCCGCCTGGAATTCCACAGGTTTTCTTCGTTTGTCTGCATAGATTTTCTGTC